CTGGGATTTGAACCTGGGTCTTCTGTAAGAACAACCAGTGTTCTTAACTGCTGAGCCATCTCTCCAGCCCGTAAAATTTTTTTTATTTACTTTTTTTTTTTTTGGTCTTTTTGAGACAGGGTCTCCTTGTAGCCAGAGCTGGCCTGGAACTCACAGAGATCTGCCCGCCTCTCCCTCCCAAGTGCTGGAATTAAAGTTATTTACCTATTTTATTTTATATGTAAGAATGTTATGCCTGCTTGTGTAAGTGCACCCATGTCATGCAGTGCCCCCAGAGGACAGAAGAGGGCACCAGATCCCCTGGAACTGGAGTTACAGACAGTTGTTAGTTGCTCTGGGTGGTCTTCTGCAAGAATAATCAGTGCTCCTAAGCACTGAGGCATCTCTCTAGCCCCTCAAAACTCTTTAAAAAAAATTTTTTTTTTAGGCAGAATCTCCCTGTGGCTCCAGCTGGCCGGGAACTCACTATGTAGACCAGGCTGGCCTTGAACTCACAGAGATCTGCCTGCCTCTGCCTCCCTAGTGCTGGGATTAAAGGTGTATGCCACCATGCTGGGCAGCCCCTCAAAACAGCTTAGGCCTGGATTTGAGGCCACAGTGCTACTCACCAGAAGCTGTAGGATATCATCAGGAACATTCAGCAAATTGTCACACACGGCCCTAGCTCCTGAGTGGGAGAAGATCACAGGAGCCCGAGACACTTCCAGGATCCGCTTCGCCAAGGTATCTGAGGCATGGGACAAGTCTATCATCATGCCCAGGCGGTTCATTTCTTCCACTACTTTCTGCAGACACAATTGAGTTTGGGGAGAGAACAGAGGGTGTCATGGAACAAAGGTGTGTGCACATATCTGTAGGGAACAGGTGGGGTAGGGTATGGAATAAAAGTCCTCACCTCACCGAAGCTTGTCAACCCACTGATGTTGGTGTAGAATTGGTGTCTGAATTTGGTGGAACTCTCTGCCCTGTAGGACAGGCAGGAGAAAGCAATTTAGCTGGCCATAGTCTGGCTATCAGTGATCGGGAGGAGGGGGGCTCTGTTTATTTATCCATCCCATATCCAGAACAGATGAGGACCAGGGCTAGCTACTTTCTGAAAGTATAAGAGACCTTCCAGGACTTCAGCATTTCCCAGTGGACCACTTTATGACCATTATGGTCAGGCCCGCTCTAGGGAGGGCAGTTTCCCTACCACATTGTCGCCATTCCACCCTGGCCAGGCACTGCCCTCACCAGGGTGTGCTGCAGGTGAAGGTGAGTGTCAAGTAGCGCACTCCCAGCAGGTAGAAACTTCGAAGCACAGAGAGGCTGGTGTCCAGTGAGTGGCCGCCCTCTACGCCGATGAGGCAGGCCAGCTTCTGAGTGCTGTCCAGACCTAGAAAAGGGTGAGGAGTCAGGTGACCAGAGCCCAAGGACAGAACCACTGAAGTGAATCCCAGACTATTTTTCCATCCACCAGCTCACCTTGAGCTGAGGTCACAAGCTTCAACTCAGGGTAAGCAGCACACATGCGGTGAATGAGGTCAATCTGTTCCAGGGCAAGCTTCACAGCGTCGTGGTCCTGGGTTTGGCATGGAATGTGGGCTGACCAGAACTGGGGGTAGATTCATAGGTCCACTATGAGGGTGGTCTCCAACTCCCTAGGTTCGCCTGCCACTCCTGCCTCACCGCCCACAGTCCACATTTGAGTCAGTGACTCCTCATGGTACCCTTACAACTATTAATCTTGCAATGAACAAACTGAACTCATGACACATTACCTCCTGTTTGACCATATCCTGTGTAAATGCCCCAAACAAGGTTCCCATAGTCTTTGTGGTTCCAGCAAACCCCACACTCACAAGCGGTTTCCTATGCATTTCCATAGAACCTGAGCACTCATACAGCCCACCTCTCTTGGCCTCCAAGGTCCCCATGGCTCCCTAGTACACACATGATGGTGCACTGCATGTACCTAGTCACTCAGAGCCTGGCCTACCCAGGTTTCTGTGTCCCCCAACATTCCTAACAGCCATTCTGGTACTGTAGATCCTGTGTTACCTGGGCACCCACAAGACCATCTCTAAGCCTATCCAGGCTGGTCTGGCCATGGCTGAAATTGCGCAGATTCACATCCTCCAGCTTGCTCTGGAAAAGTTCCATCAGGATCTGAGGCAGGTCATTATGGCTGGGGTGAGAATTGAGACCATGGCCTCTAGGTCAGGAAGAGAGTATCAGCTTGGGCCTCCCTCACCTCACCAGGCCCCCTTGTCACACTAATATATGGACCCTTGATACACAGTTGGAAGGGGGTTCCATCAGCAGTGGGGCAAAATGGGGGACGGGGCAAAAGTGGGGGGCACCTACGGGTGAGACAAGAGAGAGGGATCCGGGGAAGGGGTGAAGCGGCCTCCTCAGTGGCCCAGGGGTAAGCTCAATCCTTATCACCCCCACGCCACAGTCACGCACCCGTCCACAAGTGGGAAGTCTCGCATCAGGGTCCGCACCCGCTCTCGCAGGTGGGGGTCACTGGGAGTGCCGCGGGTGGCGGCATTGGGAATACCAGGAGTGGTCAGGTTGCTGGGGGTGCTCTGAGTGATGTGGGTACAGTCTACCCACGGAGACACCAGCAGCAGCAGCAACAGCGCCACAAGCTGCTGGGACAGCGAATCCAGCCGGGGACACAGCGCGCGGTGAGCAAGGCCCACGGGTGGCATGTTGTGCGGGGTGATGTTCACAAGAGCCTGAGAAGAACAGGCAGGGCGCTGGCCGAGAAGGATGGGGGATAGGACCGTCCAGCCCAGACCTAGGACCCAAGTCACGGCCTCGCCTGGAAGGGCTTCCAGTCACACCACTCTGCAACGGACGCCCTGGAATCTTCCACGCCTCAAAGCGCAGTCGCTAGAGGGCACCACCGTCCTTCCGCTCTCCAAAGATGAGGGCGCCCCCTTAGGCCTGGCGGGCCTCTGCTCACAGCACGCATCTAGCCTTAGCTCCTACCTGACACTAGCTGAATGGATCAGCAATGGAAGGAGCCTACTGGGGAACTCACAGGCAGGAGCCCAGGAATCATCCTAATCTTACCCCTAGCTGGGCATATATATGGGTTTAGCTGCCCACATGTGCCCTGCCGTCAAAGGAGGCAAATATTCTAAGCTGGCCTGGAACTCCTGACCTCAAGTCATTCTTACCCAGGGGTCTAGGGAAGAGTGGAGGTTAGAGGTGTTGGTTACCACTGATGGACAGAAGATTCCCTAGTTGGGTGTGTAATCCCAGCAGTGGGGAGGCTAAGACAGGAGGACTTCGAGTTTGAAGCCAGCCTGGGCTATATAGCAATACCCTGCATCGGGGGGAGGAGTGGGGGGAGAGAGAAAGAAACCAGGCTCACACTTGGGAGTCTGAGATTTGAAGATTACAGAGAATTCAAGGCCAGCCTGGGCTACATAGTAAATTCCAGGTTCGCCTGACTATAGAGTAAGACTGTCTCAACCCAACAAACAAACCAAAAAAAGTATAATTCTCTTTTGAGAAATCCTCATCTGCAGTTGAGTATGTACTGTATTTTCCTAAGCATCCCCTCTCTCTCCTTTAACACCTCTTCCTGGATATATATTAAAATTGTTTCTTAATAAATTCCTACTTTATTCAAAAAGAAAATGAAGGTTGGCAAGATGACTGGGAGGGCAAAAATACTTGCCTTGCAAGCCTAATAACCTGAGTTTGAGCCTCAAAATCCACGTTATAAAAACAAAAGCAAAAGAAACAAAACAACAACAACAAAAAACACAGCTTGGCATGGTGGCACACACCTTTAATCCCAGCTCTTGGGAGGCAGAAGGAGGTAAATCTCTGTGAGATCAAGGTCAGCCTGGTCTACAAAGCACGCGTTCCAAGCCGCCAGGGGCTAAAGGGAGATCATCTCAACTCCTTCCCTCCCAAAAAAAGCCAGATGCTGTAATCTCAACTCTCACAAAGGAAAATGGGAAGCAGACATAGGAGAATCTCTGGAAAACTCTCAGGCTAGCTAGCATGGAGTATTTAGCACAGCAGCAGAAACAAGAGAGTCTGCCTCAGCAAGGTGGAAGGTAAGAACTGCCTCTCAAGAGTTGTCCTCTCACATGCTGATGAGGATGTGGCGAAAGAGGAACTTTTATCCATGCTGCAGGGAGGACAAACTGGTGCAACCACTATGGACATCAGTGTGGAAAAGCTAAAACTTGCGGCAGGTGTGGCAGCACACACATTTAGTTCCAGGAGGCAGAGGCAGGTGGATCTCTGAGTTCAAGACCAGCCTAATCTACATAGTGAGTTCCAGAGTTCCAGGCCTGATAGGGCTATGAGACCTTGTCTCAAAAAATGAAACAAAACAAAATAAAATAACAAAACAAAAAACCAAAGCCTCATTTCTATTGACTAGCTTTCATAGTGCTGGAAGGTGCTATACATGCTACCTGAAAGAGAAAATTAATCATTAACCTCACCCAGCTGTCAATCCTACAAGCTATAACATTTGGCCACTGGTGCAATAGTGGCACAAATGTTATGGGTGTAACCAGGCACTTTCTAACTGGATTTAAGGCCTGCTTCACAGGATATGGAAGGTATCTGACATTGATTTCTTTTTTTTTTTTTTTGGTCTTTTTTTGAGACAGGGTCTTTCTGTAGCTCCAACTGGCCTGGAGCTCACTATGTAGACCAGGCTGGCCTTGAACCCACAGGGATCCACCTGCCTGCCTCTGTCTCCCCAGTGCTGGGATTAAAGGCATGTGCCACCATGCCTGGCCCTATCTGACCTTGATATCAGACTTAGGAAACTGAGGCTAGACCGGTTACAGGTCATAGGGGAGAGCTTAATACTACTATTCTGGGGCTGGAGAGATGACTCAGTGGTTGTCCTCTGATCTACATACACAAAAAATAAATAGTAAATCATGATTACTAAGTAATTGCTTCTTAACTCCAGGTGGAGCTGCCTCATCTCTGCTGAATGATGTTGGGGCTAGAACTCTTGAAATTGCATTGCTTAGATTCCTTGCCAACAGGTCGCTTACACTAGAGAGAGAGAGACTGGCAGAAGGAGGAAAGAGGGACGGACGTCTTTCCTGTTGCTCCTATTCCTCTCATCACCATCAGTAGAGGCAGTTGGTTTCCACTTGCCAGTTTCTTTTGGTGTAACAGACCAGCCTTGGCACCCTCATTCAGAACATCTCCACCTGAAGGGCAGGATTGGAGCCTCATAAGATGGATGTGGTGGCACACTCCTGAAATCCTAATACTCAGGAGGTTGAGGCAGGATGATTGCCACAAGTCTGAGGACAGCTAGGCTACATAGCAAGGCTGTTTCCAAAAAGGACAAAGACAAAATAATATTTTTAAATTAATTTATATATATTTTAAATATTTTGTCCGGGAACTCATTATGTAGACCAGGCTGGCCTTGAACTCACCAAGATCCACCTGCCTCTGCCTCCCAAGTGCTGGGATTAAAGGCGTGTGCCACCAAACCCGGCTTATTTATTAATTTTTATTTTTTATTTTCTGTGTATGTGTGTATTGCCTGTATGTAGGTAAGTGCACCTGAGTCGTGCAATGCCCACAGAGGACAGAAACAGCCGTCGGATGCCCTGGAACTGGAGTTACAGACAGTTGTTAGCTTCCATATGGGTGCTGGGATTTGAACCTGGGTCTTCTGCAAGAATAGCCAATGTTCTTAACCGCTGAGCCATCTCTCCAGCCTCCTATATTATTTTTTATTTAATGTGAATGAGTGCATTGCTTGCATATACCTATGTACACTTGTGTTGTGCAATGCCTGTGGAGGTCAGAAGAGGGCATCAGATCCCCTTGAACTGGAGTTAGGATGGTTATTACCTGTCATGTAGGTGCTGGGACTCAAACCTCTGCTCTCTGAAAGAGCAGCCAGTGTTCTCAACTGTTGAGCCATCTCTCCTGTCCCCCGAAATTTAAAATAATAATGAAAAACAAACAAATCAACAAGAGAATATTGGAACCCCAGCATCACCCCCTTCTCTAAGTTTTTAGTTTCTACTAGCATGTCACCTTCTTTGTTCCTGTACTTTGGGGAGGGGCAGGTAGCTTCCTGAAATATCATTTTAGTTTACTTCAATGTCACCTTTGTGCCTTTCCAATACCTATATAACCAATCCTCCCCATTTTTATTATTATTATTATTGTTATTTTGGTCTTTTTGAGACAGGGTCTCCCTGTAGCCCCAGCTGTCCTGGAACTCACTATGTAGACCAGGCTGCCCTTGACCTCACCAAGATCCGCCTGCCTCTGCCTCTCAAGTGCTGGGATTAAAGGCGTGTGCCACCACGCCTGGCTTATTTTATTATTTTTAAATAATTAATTTATCATTATTATTTTATCTCTATAAGTGTTTTGCCTGCATGTATGTAAGTATACCTATGTTGTACAATGCCTATGGGGGTCAGAAGAGGGTATCAGATCGCCTGGAACTGGAGTTAAGGACAGTTGTTGACCTCCATGGTGGGTATTGGGATTTGAACCCAGTGCCTCTGCAAAAGCAGTCACTACCCTTAATGCTGAGCCATCTGTCCAGCCCTCTTTTTATTTATTTACTTATTTATTATATTATTATTATTATTTTTTGGTCTTTTTGAGACAGGGTCTCCCTGTAGCCCCAGCTGTCCTGGAACTCACTATGTAGACCAGGCTGGCCTTGAACTCAGAGATCTGCCTGCCTCTGCCTCCCGAGTGCTGGGATTAAAGTCATGCGCCACCACACCGGCTTTATTATTTTTATTTTTATGTATATGAGTGTATTGCCTGCATGTGTATAAGTGCACTTGTGTCGTGCAATGCCCTCAGAGTCAGACAAGGGTGTTGGATTCCCCTGGAACTGGAGTTATGGACAGTTGTTAGCCACCATGTGGGTTCTGGAAATAGAACAGCAGGTAAGAGCAGCGGGTGCTCTTAACCACTGAGACAACTCTCCAGTCCCCAAGTCCCTATCTTAAATATATATATATATATATATTTTAAATTAATTTGTGTGTGTGTATGTACATTATTGTGCCATGGTACTCATGTAGAGTTCAGATGACACCTTTCAGGAGTTGGTTTGCTCCTTTGACCATATGGAATTGAACTCTGGTCGTCAAGCTTGGAGGCAAGCACCTTTACCAGCTGAGCCATCTCACTGACTCTATTATTTATTTGTATTTTTGAGACAGGGTGTTACTATGTAGCCCTGGCTGGCCTGGAACTCACATGTAGACCAGGGTGGTCTCAAACTTACAGGGAACCTACTGTCTTTGCCTCCCAAGTGCTGGGATTAAAAGCATGTGCCACCACACTTGGTGTTCCTCCATTTTTAAATACTAAGAGCAATCTCTCTTTTCTTAAATGGACTCCAACTGACATTTGTCTTGGAAGGATTTGAAAGATTTAGGCTAATTCACTATTACTGCATGCCTCCAAAAGAAGACAAGAAGGCAGAACAGGTGAAATGAATAGAAAGCACTATTAATCTGTAATTCCAGATCACTGGAGGTGGAGGCAGGAGAATCATGAGTTCAAGGTCATGGAAGCTAACCACTGTCTGTAACTCTAGTTCCAGGGGACCAAACATCTTTTTCTGGCCTCCACAGGTATTGCATGACACAGGTGCACTTATATACATGCAGGCAAAACTCTCACACATTAATAAAAATAAATTAAAACTTATAAAATAGAGATTCCCCTGCACCCACACAAATACAACGAAACATTTGTAGGACAAAGGCCTGGAAATACACAGCTCATTTACTTATCTTTTGAAAAAAAAATTAAAAATTATATTTATTGGTGTGGGCGTGGGTGTGGGTGTGGGTGTGGGGACGTTCTGAGACAGGGTCCCTGTAGCCCTAGTTGGCCTGGAACTTAACTTCATAGACCAGGCTGACCTTGATTTCACAGACCCACGTGCCTCTGCCTCCCGACTGCTGGGATTAAAGGTGTGCGCCACCACGCCTGGCAAAAATTTTTATTTTATATGTTAAAGTATATTACTTGCATATATGTAAGTGCGCCACTGTCATGCAATGCCCATGGAGGTCAGAAGAGGGCGTTGGATTCCCCTGGAACTGGAGTTACAGACAGTTGTTAGCCTCCATGTGGGTGCTGGGAACTGAATCCAGATTCTCTGCAAGAGCAGCTAGTGCTCTTAACAGCTGAACCATCTCTCTAGCGCCTTAGATTTTATGTGTATGAGTGTTTTGCCTGTATTTATCGAGGTGCACCACGTGCATGCAATGCCATTGGAGGACAAAAGAGGGGTGCTAGGAATGGAACCTACTTCCTCTGCAAAAGCAGCCAGTCCCGTTAGCTCCTGAGCCATCTCTCCAGTCCCACATATGTAGTTCTAAAAGCTTTCTGTAGCTGACTATAATGATGCATGCCTGAAGTACCAAGGTACTCAAGAGGCTGAGGCAAGGGGATTGCTTAAGCCACAGTTGTAGGACAGGCTGGGTAATACACAGATACCCTATCTCTAAATACACATGTAAATAACAACTTCCCACAATTGTGAGTTTATAGGAAAAATTAGGAGCAGAGGAACATGTTAAATGACACCATAGGATATAATTAGCAAACTCAAAAACATGGAAAATGCCAAGGACTGTTATTTTTAAATTTTTATTATTTTAATTTTTTATTATTTTTAATTATATTATTATTTTATTATTTTAATTTTTAATTATTTTTAAATTTTATGTGCATGAGTGTATTGGCTACATGTGTGTAAGTGTACCCATGTCATGCAATGCCCACAAAGGTCAGAAGAAAGTGTTGGATTCCCCTGGAACTGGAATTAGAGACAGTTGTTAGCTGCCATGTGGGTGCTGAAAACTGGACTTGGGTCCTTGGCAAGAGCAGCCAGTACTCAACCGCTAAGCCATCTCTCCAGTTCCAGTATTTTTATTTTCAACAAATAAATTGCAAGGAAATAAAAAGAGAAAACTACCTACAGGTGAAGCCATGACAATGGCATGTGATAGGGAATGTCTTTTCTACACTAAATTTCAGATAATCAATTGTGAAAATCGAGCAATCATGGAAATTTGAATATGATAGTTTAGGTTAATAAAGATGTTTTGTCAAGCCTGGCATGGAGACACACACTTGTAATCCCTGCCCCAGGGAAACTGAGAATTGCAGCAAGTTTGAGGCCAGCCTAGGATTCATAGCAAGTATCATGTCAGTCTGGCCCAGAGAAGGAGACTCTTCCTTTTTTTTTCTTCCTTTGGTCTTTTTGAGATAGGGTCTCTCTGTAGCCCCAGCTGACCTGGAACTCACTATGTAGACCAGGCTGGTCTTGAACTCACAGAGATCTGCCTGCCTCTGCCTCCCGAGTGCTGGGATTAAAGGAGTGCTCCACCATGCCCAGCGAGACTCTTCTTTTTTAAAACTTTATGTGTATGAGTGCATTGCCTGCATGTATGTAAGTGCACCCGTATCATGTAATGACCGAGGAGGCCAGAAGAGGGCATTGGATCCCCTGCCATGTGGATGCTGGGAGCTGAACCCAGGTCCTCTATAAGAGCAGCCAGTGCTCTTAATGCTGAGCCATCTCTCCAGTCCCCAGATAGAGACTTAAACAAAAACAGCCAGGTGTGGTAATGCAGGCCTTTAATCCCAGAACTAGGGAGGCAGAGGCAGGCGGATCTCTGTGAGTTTGAGGCCACCCTGGTCTACATAGTGAGTTCCAGGACAGCTGGAGCTACAGGGAGACCCTGTTTCAAAAAAAGACTGGAAAAAAAAAAAAAAAAAGCAGCCAAGCATGGTGGTGCATGCCTTTAATCACTAGGGAGGCAGAGGCAGGCAAATCTCTGTGAGTTCAAGTTCAGCCTGGTCTATATAGCGAGTTCCAGGCCAGCTGGGGTATAGGGAGACCATTCAAAAAAAAAAAAAAAAAAAAAAAAAAAAAAAAGTCACATTTACTTATTTGTGTGGGAGCAAAGTGGCGGGATGAGGGGTTGCGGGGGTGGGGATAAGGGACATCTTTGCCACAGTGTGCTTGTGAAAGTCAGAGAACAACTTGCAGGAGTTGGTTCCCGGCTTCTACCATTTGGATCTTGGGACAGAACTTAGGTCTTCAGGCTTGGTGACAAGTACCTTTACCCACTAAGCAGACTCTTAGGGTTTGTTTGTTTGTTTGTTTTTGTTTGGTTTTGTATGTAGTCCTGGCTGGCCTGGAACTTTCTGTGGAAACCAGGCTAGCCTCAAACTCACAGAAATCTGTCTGGCTCTGCTACCACCTGCTGGGATTAAAGGTCCACACCATCACACCCAGTTTAGTTTTGTTTTTTGAGAAGGGTCTTACTATGTAACCCAGGCTGGCCTCACACTCTTGATCCTTCTACATTTTTAAAAAATTATTATCTTTAGTCGGGCTTGGTAGCGCACACCTTTAATCCCAGCACTTGGGAGGCAGAGGCTGGTGGATCTTTGTGAGTTTGAGGCCAGCCTGGTCTACATAGTGAGTTCCAGGATAGCTGTGGCTACAGAGAGACCCTGTCTCAAAAAGACACACACACACAAATTATTATCTTTATTTGTGTGTGTGTGTGTGTGTGTGTGTATGTGTGTGTAGTGTACACTTTCATGTCCTGGCATGCTTGTGGAAGTCAAAGGACAGTGTTCTGGAATTGCTTCTGTCCTTCCACCATCCTAGGGATTGAACTCAGGTCTTTAGGTTTGAAAGCAAGAAATTTACTCACTGAGCCATCTTGCTAGTCCCTGCCCTTGGGTCACTTTCTTTTCTTCTTCTTCTTCTTCTTCTTCTTCTTCTTCTTCTTCTTCTTCTTCTTCTTCTTCTTCTTCTTCTTCTTCTTCTTCTTCTTCTTCTTTTTCAGTGCCTAGAAATTTTACGGGTGGGATGAGCTGAATCTTTGTAGAAGTGATTTTAAAGCCATAGGCCTCAAGGGAGCATATTAATTGATCCCTGAGGTCTGATAAAGGTAGCAGGGGTTCATATCAGGCAAGGATGTCATCCATGTAATGGTAAACATGGAGTCCCTTTTTTAATATGGTTTTGTTTTTGTTTTGTCTTTTTGAGACAGGGTCTTCTTGTAGCCCCAGCTGTCCTGGAACTCTCTGTGTAGACCAGGATGGCCTTGAACTCAGAGATTCGCCTGGCTCTGCCTCCCAACTGCTGGGATTAAAGGCGTGCGCCACCACACCCAGCTTTCTTCTTTTTAAATATTTTATTTATTATTTTTATGCACCCGTGTCATGCAATGCCAGGGAGGACAGAAGAGGCTGTTAGATCCCCTGGAACTGGAGTTATGGACAGTTGTTAGCTGCTGTGTAGGTACTAGGATGCGAACCTGGGTCTTCTGCAAGAACAGCCAGTGTTCTTAGCTGCTGAGCCATCTCTCCAGCCTTCCCTGTGTCATTTTCTAAGTGCTGGTATTATAGCTGTATGCCATCAGACCTGGCACCTCTTAATTATTTTGGTTTTTTCTTTTTGTTGCTTTGAGACAGGGTCTAATGTAGCACAGGCTGGCCTTAAACTAGATATGAAGCCAAGAATGACCTTGAACTTCTAATCCTGCCTCCATCTTCCAAATGAAAGAATTTGAAGAGTGTGCTCCCCACAGTTCATGTGGTTCTGGGATGGAACCAGGGCTTCATGTATGCCAGGTGAACACTCTATAAACTGAGCTACATCCCCGACCCACCTCTTAGGTTTTCTTGAGACTTGTTTGTTTGTTTGAGACAGGGTCTCCCTGTAACTTCAACTGGCCTGGAACTCACTATGTAGACCAGACTGGCCTTGATCTCATAGAGATCCACTTGCCTCTGTGCTGGGATTAAAAGCATGAGCTAACACTCCCAGCTTTTCTTGAGACTTTAATTATAAAAAGATAAGGAGCCGGGAGTGGTGGCATATGCCTGTAGTCCCAGCACTTGAGAGGCAGAGGCAGAGGCAGACGAATCTCTGTGAGTTCAAGACCAGCTGGGGCTACAGGGAGACACTGTTTCAAAAAGACCAAAAATAAATAAATACATAAATAAATAAATAAATAAATAAATAAATAAAAAGATGAGGATTCAGCACTTGGGAGGCAGAGGCAGGCAGATCTCTATGAGTTTAAGGCCAGCCTGGTCTACGTAGTGAGTTCCAGGATAGCTGACTACAGTAAAAAAAAAAAAAAAAAAAAAAAAAAAAAAAAAAAGATGAGGATTCTGTGAATTTATTCTTGGGATGAAACAAAGAACAAAGTCTAGAAAAGCCTATTAGCTTTTATTTCTGCCAACTGTAAGTCCTCTACACCTGTCCTGATCTCACATATCCTTCAGGCCCATTTCCAAGGACCTTCCCCCGTCCTCTGGTCCACCTGAATTTCTGTCTCTCCAACTATTGCTTAGAGTCATGGAGGTACAATCTAGCCATCTCAGATTAATCTTCACTCTGACCAATCTCAGAATTTTGGTTTCTTGTGCCCTCCTGTGGTCACTGGGGCTGTGCCCACCCAGAGATGCTCCACAGAGTGTAGCTACTTAAGTAGGATATTGGAAGGTGGGCAGGTGGGAGAGCCCTGGCAGGGTTCCTCTTTGCCTTTACCCCACTTTCTTCCCTAAACACCAAGGCCCTGACTAACACCTATCCCTCAAGTCATAGGTTCCATAAGTGACCTCACTAGAGAGTGATAACATCACAGTCCCCAGTTTCCATGGTAGTGTAACTACAGAAACTTGGATTCCTTGGATAAACTTTCCTATCTTTTCTCTTCGAGATACAATTTTGTTTAGTTGTCTGAGAGAGAATGACGGATCGAATCTTCTACATTAACTCTAACTTGTCCTCTGTCCCTTGTGAAAGCAGTTATTCAGGTAGGGCTTGACTAGGAATCTGTACAAGAGCCCTTGGGATGCACATAACCTCATTGGGTTGCAGTATATTTCTTTTAGGCATGCCTTCCAACACCTCAGAACTTCTCTAGCCATGAGTAGAAAAAATGGCCTGGTATTTGCTCAGAGAGCAACAATTCTTGTTCAAAACTAAGGGCAAAGCCATATCATGTTATCTTTGGGCAAGTGTTTATTTAGAAAGCTTCTACTCTTTATCTATTTAGCCTCTTTGGGACATAAAGTGCTCCCTTTAATTTTTTTAATCTTTTTGAGACAAGGTCTAGCAGGTCTGGAACTGACTATATAGACCAGGCCGGCCCCAATGTCACAGAGATCTGACAGCCTCTGCCTCCTGAGTGCTGGGATTAAAGGCATATACCTCCTATGCCTGGATTTAAAATTCTTCTAGACTTTCATTTTTCTTTTATTTATATTTTTTTGTCTTTTTGGGACAGGGTCTTCATGTATCCCCAGCTGGCCTGGAACTCACTATGTAGACCAGGCTGGCCTCAAACTCACAGGGATCCACCTGCCTCTGCCTCCCAAGTGCTGGGACTAAAGGTGTACACCACCGCACCCAGCTAACGTTCAAGTTTTTTTTTTCTTTTTGAGTCAGGGTCTCCCTGTAGCCCCAGCTGTCCTGGAGCTCACTATGTAGACCAGGCTGGCCTGGAACTCTCAAAGATCCACCTGGCAGCAAGATTACTTGAGCCCAGGAATTGGAGGCCAGTCTGGACAACAAAGTTAGATTCTATCTCAAAAAGTAGTTGGGGGATGGTAGGTAGTATGATGGCTCCGGGTTAAAAGGGTTTGTTCTACAACCATGAGGATCTGAGGTCTGATTCCAGGTAATAAGCTCAGCATGGTCTTGGCAACACCTGTAACCCCAGTGCTGTGAGGGCAAGAAACAAGGATATTTGCTGGGGCTTGCTGGTTGCTAGCCTAGCAGAAAAAGGCAAGCTCCAGGTTTAAGTAGAGACTATGCTTTAAGGACTAAGGTGGACAGTGATAGGGAAGGACACTGGATGTCCTCTTCTGGCCTCTGTACCTGTCACAAACAGGCACATAAACCCATAAGCATACCTTTGCATACAACATAAACACATATACATGCACACACACACAGGAGTTCAAAGCTAATTGCAGCTATAGCCTTAACTGTATTAAGACCTTGTCTCCCCCCCCCAAAAAAAAGAAGTTAGGTGTGGTGATATATACTGTTAGTCCCAGAACTTGGAAAGCAGTAGATCTCTGTGAGATCGTGTCCATCCTGGTTTCCATAGTGAGTTCCAGGCCAGCTGGAGCCTCAGAGAGACCCTATCTCAAACAAACAAAAGTAAAAAAAAAATTGGAAAATCTAGACAAAACTGGACTGGAGTTCAGGTGTTATGAATGAGTGGGTCCTAAGAGGAGCTACTGGGGTGGGAAGGGTTCTTTTTTAAAAAAAAAATATTTATTTTTATGTCTATGGGTGTTATACCTGCATGTATGTAAGTGCACCCCTGTCATGCAGTGACTACAGAGGACAGAAGAGGGCATCAGATCCCCTGGAACTGGAGTTAAGGAGGGTGGTTAGCCACCACGTAGGTGCTGGGATTTGAACCTGGGTCTTCTTCAAGAACAGCCAGTGCTCTTAACTGCTAAGCCATCTCTCCAGCACCCCCATTCTTAACCAATTTATGTTACATAGCTTTTTTTAAATTGGCAAACATACTCATTAAATTTCAGAAATGGCAGACCTTTAGAATCTTTATTTGTGGAAATGAGAAACTGAGAGGGTCTCAATTGCAGTTATCTTTTCTTTTTTGGTCTTTTTGAGATGGGGTCTCCCTGTAGCCCCAGCTGTCCTGGAACTCACTATGTGGACCAGGCTGGCCTTGAACTCACAGAGATCCGCCTTCCTCTGCCTCCTGAGTGCTGGGATTAAAGGCGTGCACTACCACGCCTGACGCAGTTATCTTTTAAAAATTATTATTTTTTGTTTTATGTGAATGAGGGTTTTGCCTAAATACATTTAAGTACACTTATATTGTGCAATACCTGCAGAGGCCAGAAGATCCCTTGGTACAATAGTTGTTAGCCTCTTTGTGAGTGCTAGGAACTGAACCTGGGTCCTCTGCAAGAACATTCAGTGCTCTCAACTGGTGAACCATGTCTCCAGTGCTGCCCCTCCCCCTAGCTATTTAAGGCTTTTTTATTCTCTCTGGAAATGGACAACACATATGCTTGGTCTCCTCCTACTATTATTAGTTTCCCAGAAGCCAAGTACTTTTATAGAATCATCTCTCCAAGGAGCTAATAGGACAGCTTCAGAAACAGGAAGGAATGTGAGAAGAAGGTCTCAGCATCACAGTATAAAGCAGAACTAACTGCTCTGTTGTGGTTTTCTTTGTAGCACTAGCACCTCCCACGGCTCCTTCTCCCCTTGGATACTACCATGTCCTCTACAAAGGTCATACACAAGCCCAGATGTCCTGGCATGGGGAGACATATTGCTTGGTTGGAGGCTACCGAGTCTATGGGGATGCTCCCCTTGACACCCCTGCAAAGGCGAGAGAAGAGAAGCCAATGCCCAGGCAAGCTTCCAAGAGATGTCGAATTCAGAAAGAGTCAGACCAAGATCTAGGATGTTCTAGTGCAAAGATTCCTTGCCTGAAACTGAAGCACAGTGGCAAGATGATGTCCCCACAGAAGCAGTTTGCTTGAACAACTCTGTCAAGAGGATGGGTCTTTAGCTGCCTCAGCTAAGTCCTCTTTTGCAGTGACCCTCATTGACCTCCTCTGGAAATAGAACCTTGGCTGTTCTGCCTGAGCTGTGTTCAACCAGGAGCATGATTTTGTGAAAATTAGTCCCAAACAAGGAGCCTGAGGAAGGAGCAGGTACTTTGAACATCACATCCTGAACTCAATCATCTAAAGTCCCTTCTTGGGTAGAAAAAAGGGAGCCCCGCAAGCTGGAACAAGAACACTATGGAGAAAGTCCAGCAAACCTCTCCCTCCCCTGCCTGGGGCTCCCAGGTTCCTTTATTCTCAGCCCATTGTGGCACCAGCAGGGTCCCTTCAGTTCAATAAAATTATTTTTTGTGACAGTGTTTGAGTTGAAATCCAGCTTGTCTGAGACCAAGCTTCAAATTTCCCTGTTCCTCTAAAGTAAATCCCTACACAGGAATTTACAGAAACAAAACTTTCTGCCTTCACAAGGAACCCTTGGGTGCACTTTCTCTGTGAATCCTACAACTGATGGGGAGATACACTTAAAGATGAGCTTCTTTAAGAAATGGAGAGGCTGGTATATTAGCTCAGTGTACTTTAGTATGTATGAGGACTTGGGTTCAGTTCTGGGAGAGGGAGGTAAAGACAGGTGGATCCCTGGGGTTCCTTGGTCAGCCAGTGTAGCCTACTTGGTGGGTTCCCAGAGTCCTCATCTACAAAAAAAAAAAAAAAAAAAAAAAAGGTGGCCAGCTCCTGAGAAATAACACCTGAGACTGACCTCTGACCTCCACACCTCCAACTTCACCCCAACATACATTTCCGTTTATATATTCCATTTAAACCCAAATCAGAATTTATTATATTTTGCATTTCTGACTTTTTGTTTTATTTTATTTTATATATTTTATTATTTTTTTTTAATTTTACGTGTATGCATGTATTTCCTGCATGTAGGTAAGTGCACCCATGTCATGCAATGCCCATGGAGGACAGACGAGACTGTTGGATTCCCTGGAACTGGAGTTATGGACAGTTATTAGCTGCAATGTGGTTGCTGGGATTCGAACCCAGGTCTTCCAAGAGCAGTCAGTGTTCGTAAACTCTGAGCCATCTCTCCAGCCTATTTATTTATTTATTTATTTATTTATTTATTTTCATATTATTTTTTGGTCTTTTTGAGACAGGGTCTCCCTGTAGCCCCAGCTGTCTTGGAACTCACTATGTAGACCAGGCAGGCCTTGAACTCACAGAGATCTGCCTGCCTCTGCCTCCCGGGTGCTGGGATTAAAGGCATGTGCTACCAGGCCCAGCCCAGAAGTGGGTTTTGTAAAGGTATTGAATTTGCTTCCACTAAGGTGAGAAAACCAATCCTGTCCTTATGGCTTATGCCTATAATTCCGATAGTTGGGAGAGTGCAGCAGGATTTCCAAGAGTTTGAGGTGAATAAGGACTATTTTTTTAGAAGATTTATTCCATTTGAATATAAACCACATGTTTGGGGATGCTCAGAGGCCAGAAGAGGATGCTATATCCCATAGAGCTGGAGTTAACAGTTGTGAACTGTGAGCAGTGAGCTGCTTGACATGGGTACTGGTCATCAAACTCAGGTCCTTTGAAGAGCAGCAAGTGCTCTTAACCACTGAGCTGTCTCTCTCCATCCTGTGGACTACATATTGAATTCCAGGCTAGCTTAGGTATAGAATGAGATCCTGCCTTTAAAAGAAGACAGAAATGTAAAATACCAAAGAAAGTGGGGCTGGAGAGACGGCTCAGTGGTTAAGAACACTGGCTGGTCCTGCAGAGAACCTGGGTTCATTCCTAGCACCCGTATGGCAGCTAACAACTATCTGTAACTCCAGTTCCAGGGGATCCAATGCCCTCTTCTTACTTCTGTGGGCCTTGCACACATGACACGGGTGACACACATGACATAGTGAGTTCTAGGACAGCTGGGGCTACAGGGAGACCCTGTCTCAAAAAAGACAAAAAAAACCCACTTCTTTTTTTTGGGGGGGTGTGTGTTTTTGAGACAGGGTCTCACTCTGTAGCCTTAGCTGGCCTGGAAATCACTAGCAAACCAGACTGGCCTCAAACTCACAGAAATCTGCCTGTCTATGCCTCCCGAGTGCTGGGATTAAAAGTGCATGCCACCATGGCCAGCAAAAAAATTTTACTTTTAAAAATATATATATATTTGCCAGCTGTGGTAGCGTGCCTTTAATCCCAGCCTTTGGGAGGCAGAAGCAGGTGGATCTCTATGAGATTGTGACTTCCAGGTGGGCTGTGACTAGAGACACCCTGTTAAAAAACAACCAACAAAAAGACAATATATATATTTAATTATGTTTTTATTTTATGTGTATGAGGGTATTGCCTGCATGTAGGTAGGTGCACCCATGTCGTGCAATGCCTGGGCCTAGATCCTCTGCAAGAGCAGCCAGTGCTCTTAACTGCTGAGCCATCTCTCCAGCCCCTCCAAATTTACTTCTTTATCTCATTTCTTCCCTTCTTTTTTCCTCCCTCCCTTTTTCTTTATTTTACTTCTTTATTCTTCATTTCTTTCCTTCTTTCTTATGTCTGTCTGTCTCTATGCTTAGGTGTGTTTGTGTGGGTTTACATGTATGTATGTGCATGTGGTAGTTTGAGGTCAACCTTGGTATTGTTTCTCAAGAGCCCTCTACTTATTTTTTTTTTTTCTTTTTTAGATAGGCTCTCTCATTTGGCCTGGAACTTGAGGATTAGGTTAGGCTTGCTGGCTGACTGGTGAGCCCCAGGGATCTGCCTCCCTAGCACTGGGGTTTATAAGTACACACTATCATGTTGAGATCTCTTTAGTGTGGGTTTTGGGGGTTGAATTTAGGGCCTTATGCTTGTTTGCATGGCAACCACTTTAATGACTGAGCTATCTCTCCAGTCCTTATTTTTTTTCTCTTTAGAAAGGGTCCCAGGGGCTGGAGAGATGGCTCACTGGCTGCTTTTACAGAGGACCTGGATTTGAACCCCAGCACCTGCATGGTGGCTAACAACCATTCCTAACTCCAGTTACAGAGGATCCAATGCCCTCTTCTGTCCTTTTCAGGCACAGAATGACACGGGTGCACTTACATAATGCTGGCATAACACTCATACATATAAAGTAAAAATAAATCAACAAAATAAAACTGGTCCCATGTATCCCAGACTGGCCTTGAACTCCTTATTTAGTTCAGGATGACCTTGAAATATCTGCTGTTTCTGCCTCTATCAAGTGCTGGGGTCACAGATGTGCACCACCAAACCAGATCTTATGCAGTGCTGGAAGTCAAACCCAGGGTCTTCTGATGCCGGGAAAGCATTCTAGGAACTGAGCTACACCCTCAGCTCGGTATTAGCTCTTAATGTCTACTATTGCAGTTGCTATTAGTTACTACTCAGGGCCTGAGAGTAAGATGGAATGAATACCCACATAGTTTGTGTTTCTCAGAAACTCCTTGAGGGCTGAGGGATCACCACATGTAGGACAGTCCAACCATCAGATGCCTGTGATTCACTATGTGGATTCACATTCTGGGCTTTGTCCGAAGAAGGTTACTCATAATCCAGTCAGGTTCCCTTTTTGGGAATCTGAAGAATTACCTGAGAGATCCCCAGGTGGTGGTCAGTGGTTCAGTTTATTGATTGAGATGAGCTACTCAGAACCCTTCCTGAAGCCAAACCCACACCATTGACTTCATCTGGTGCTAAGCCTAATCACCTGGGCTGCCATAAGCCACTGCTAACAGGACTCCTTGAGCAAATGGTGGCTAAAATGCCAGGTTCTCCAAGAACACCAGCACTGGGAACCTGTGTCAACTATACTCTACCACAAAAATATGACACACCTGTTTCGATGCCCAAAACATTTATTTCCAGGAAATTTTTGTACCAGCAAAAGGGAAGGATTTTTGTGGGGTTCAGAGGTGCCAGAGTGATCTTTGGTAGCACTGAATAGGTCACTAAAGCCACAAAATAAGGCCTGAAAAGACAGCAACAACAGGGAGGCTTGGGACTATGTGGGGAGATTTTGAGCGTGACCAGTTGTCTGATAACTTGAGTGTATGATGTGTTGACATCTCTGTTCTATTCTGGTTTTGATGCTGTTTCTGGTGCAGACCTGGCAGGACTGAGTGACAAGGACTGTTCAGTTGCTGCTCTGGGATCATATCCTCCAGGGGACTTTGCCATCTGTTTTTCTCCTGTACCTGAAGGAGACAGTTAGTGATCAGTGACTCCTCCAGGTCTCCCTGTGTACCTGTTAAGACCCCTGTACCACTCTCTTGCCCATCTGGGCATACCTGTTCCACTTTTCCAAACACCCGAAGGAAATTTCCTCGAAGGACTCCTTGAAGCTCTTGTTCACTCCAGCCCCGCCTCAGCAGCTCCTCTATCAGCACTGGGTATGTGGACACGTCCTCCAGTCCCTGAGGGAACCTGTGTGGCCACCAGCAGGCAAGCCTCAGACCTGGTACCCTAATCCCAACTCAAAACCTCAGGTCTATGTGTACTGGGTATACTGTACCCCAGTAATGATCATCTGTGGGAAAGGAGACTTGGAAAGAGTAATTAGTTTCCTCTAGTCCTAAATCCTTCAGAAGTCTCAAAACCTCTTTGAAAACCAAAAATGCAGTGCTCAGGAGCAAACGTCCAGCCATTTACATAAGTAAGCACATTACCACTAAGCTATCTACCCCCAGCCCCTTCCTTGAATATTTTCTTTTCTTTCTTTTTTTTTTTTTTTTTTTTTTTTTTTTTTTTAAAAAAAAAAAAAAAAAAAAAAAAAAAAAGAGGACGATAAATCTTTCACTGTGATATATCAAAATAA